GGCAGCTGTTTTGGTCCGAGGCTGCCGGCCGGAGGGGTGGGCACACGCGCCCGGCCGGCCCTGATTTTCACGCACGCAGCTCCCAGGCACCGGCTTTGAGTGATTCGTGAGCGCGGGCCTGCCTCCGCCCCTCAAACACACACACACACACGCACACACACACACACACACACACACACACAAACATCTAATCATGATCACCCATACACACCGCACTTCCTCGTCCCCCAATCTCCGACCCGCCGCCCGCACGCCTCCCCCAGCCGCGCCGCCCCCGACGCCGCCGCCGCGCTGGCCGCCGCCGCCGCGGCTGCCTCCGACGCCGCCGACGCGGCATCAGACGAGCGCCGCCGCCTGCGGGCGCGCGCGCGGCGGCTGGAGCGGCGGCTGGAAGACGCAGGGGCGCGGGCGAACGATTTGGAGGAGGAGCTGGAGGGCGAGCGGCGCGCAAGGGGGCAGGAGGCGGCGGCGCGGCGCGCGAGGGAGCAGGTGGGGGGCCGGAGGCTGGAGGGGCCGGCGCAGCTGCGTCGGCCGAAATGCGCGGATGCTGCATTCAGTCGACGACGGCGCGCCGTGGGCGCACTTGCTGGCTTGCAACATTGAAAACCACAGGCAAGAGTGGTGCGATCTGAGCATCTGTCGCGGTTTTGAATTCGACATGTGCCCCTCGGCCCCGGATCCCTCAACCCAGGCCCTGGAGGCGCAGCTGGACGAGGCGCACGCGCGAGAGAGGGGCCTGCAGCAGGAGGTGGGGCCAAAGGCATTGCACGGCGAATGGGGTGCATCTGGGGCTCTGTCGGGGGCCGCGCAGAGCTGCACGCGGGCAGCCGAGAGCGGGGCGTGCGGCGACGCTCGCCCTCGTCGCCAGCTTCCATGTGCGTTCGCAGCATGCATGTGCTGGCAGTGGCGCCGGCAGATGGTACGGATCTTTTCCTGCCCCGTCGGCTTCCTCGCCAGCTCTCTGCCGTGGCCTCGACGGTGCGCCCCATCATGTAACCCGCCGGCCGCGTCACCCGCCCCCAGGTGGCCGCTCTCAAGTCGCACGTGGCTGCGCTGGACGGCGCCGCCACCACCGCCAGCGGCGCCGCGGCGAAGCTGGCCAAGCTGGAGGAGCAAGTGGGTCACCCGCTGATGTCGCCGGTGATACCACCAGTGACACCAGGGCATGGGACATAATCGACTGCTCACAAACGAATAAGTTTCCACGCCCGTTGCCATTGGCGTCGACGCAGCCTCGAAACATCGTCACTTTGGGGCCATGCCATTCCTCGAAAAGAACTCACAACCTTTGCGGATCCCTCAACCAAAACCGCCAACCCCCAGGTGGTGCAGCTGGAGGCCGCGGTGCGCGTGGCCGTGGCCGAGCGCCAGCACATGGAGCAGCGCCTGCGCGCTGCCGCCGACGACGCCGCCGCCGACGCGGCCGCGTCCGCGCGCTGCGCCGAGGGGCTGCGGGCCGCGGTTGCGGCGCGCGAAGGGGCGCTGAGGGCGGCGCGGGCGGAGGGGGGGGAGGCGCGGCTCGAGGCGGAGGGGTTGAGGGCGCAGCTGGAGGGGCTGGCGCGCGCCAAGGTGCGTGGGGTTGGCACGGTGTTTTTGCATGTGCGTATGTGTGCGTGTGTATGAATTTGCATGTGTGGATTTTGGGCATGTCTTTCCAAGCAGCATGTTTGATTTTTAACTTGGCAATTGGCAGCTTCAAGGGCTTTTCTTGGAGGCTGAGGGGCTGAGGGCGCGTTTAGAGGGGCTGGCGCGCGCCAAGGTGCTGGGGAGTGCAGTGTCATTCGCATGTCTGTTATGTTGGTGATGATGTGTTTGTGTGTGGTTGTGTGCAGGTGTGTGGGTGTGGATGTGCGTGTGTTTGTGGATCCCGGGGCGTCTTCTACGCATGTATTTGACTTGGCAGGCTGGCGTCTGCTGGAGGGTCAAGGCAGGAGGGGTCATGAGTAGGCTCTGACAGGCTGTGTTGATGCGCCACCGCATCCCCACTCCCCTCCCCCCCCCCTACGAATAACAACCACGCATGCAAACACACATAAAACTGCAGCCTCCTGCCAATGCTCCCGCCACCCAACCCGCAACAGGCCACGTTGCAGCGCAGCATGCTGGATCAGATTTCAGCGATCAAGCAGAAACTCAGCCACGCGGAGCGCCAC